TTACAAAACATGATAATTCTGGTATTTATCAGACTTAAACTGAAAATATTATTCATACAATTATGGTTAAACTAAAATTCCAAATCAATTTAGACATGATTTTAACTACAAAATCTAGTTTAAACTTTAATTAAAACATCATATGAGCATCATCAAGATATTAGTAGTCAAATAAGGTAATTACATTTTAAATTTAAATATTATTAATATGAAAAAAAATTATTACTACTGACACTAATGAAACGATAAAATAAGTTTGAATGACTTGTCTCTACAAACAACAGATAAAAAATGACAATATATATAGCAAAAAATAATAAAAGAGCAAAAATCAAAACATCCATCCATCTATCCCTTAACTTACCTAATGCCCCAATGCCATCAACACCGGAGCAGGCGTGTGTGCTGTTTGGATGAGCATGGGACTTAGAACCCTCGATAAAGGAAGTTGGCCTCTGCCTCCCACTCATATTTATCTAATAACAAGATGGCCAAAACTGGACTAGCAGGGTACAAGGAGAGGAAGATAAAAAAAGAGAGGAGATATATGAAGATTTAACTTATTTTGAATGTTATTGCTATCATTTACAACATTTACAAAAATTTGTTTTATAGTTAATTTATGATTTAATTTTATTTTATTTTAATAAATTCAACTGTTGCCTGGTCGCTATAGTTACCTTTGGGCCACAAACCACTGTATTATTTTTTAAACCAAAATTATAATTTATATAAGCAGTAACCCAATTATTCAGCAAATTTAAAAAGTAATAAAGTTGATGAGTGTGAATCTCATTTGAACAATGAACTGTAGAATGTGGGATGACTACAAATTACTACTCTCTACCTATGACAAACACAATACTGCAATATTTCAACCTTTGAAGAAAAAAAATTACAAACCCATTTAAATCTACACGCACAAATGATAATAAAATTCAAAAATGACGACACTTCACTAAACGCGAGAGTCAGAAACACCTAAATTCAACGGGAATTGGCTACAATTAAGTAAAAAAGATACGAAATAAACAAAATGGTCGACAACAATTAACGAAAATAGCTTGATATTTGTCTTACGTCACCTTAAATTGAGCTAAATAATAATATTATAATTATTTATTTTATTTAAACTCATTTAAACCTTTAGAAAGAAGCCAGTCGTTAGTTACTCTTACAAAAAAAAGTTTTCAATATTTTTGTTTATCATTTTACTTAAAACAGCAATAAATTAGACTAGTCAATTTTTTTACTCTGAAAATTATTCTTTACCTGCCCCCGTATGATTACGTTAATTTTTAGCCTTTTGCTTGAAGCATTAAAATTTCTTATCCAACAGCAAATGGTTTTTGTTCACTCCATTGAATCCACTTAACTAGAGTTCAGTATTCTATGTATATATGGCTTAGTGTATAAAAATCAGTCATATATATATATATATATATATATATATATATATATATATATATATATATATATATTAAACTTTTACTAGCTACTTTTATCAAAAACTTTAAAAATTTTCATTTTTATTTCTTCGCGATATCGATGATGATGATGTGGCCTGACTTATTAAAAAGCATGAAAACAAATTTATAAAATAGGATGGAGAATTTGTAACGGAATCGTTTGAGGGAATGACGTTATGCTAGCGGTATTCGATTCTTTGTGAAATGTATCTCCTCAACTTCCACACCAGGAGAACAAGCTTTTTCAAAATCTGGAAAACTTATAAGCATAAAAAGAAATAAATAGAATGCTGCTATTTTGATATTTCACTATTGGCTGTTCAAAATCAGGCTACTTTGGGCGGTTGGCAACTGTGCTATTGCTTACAACTACAACACACGCTACACACATGCACACACAGATACACACACAGACAGACACACACACGGATAAGTTTTGTGGTGTGTATGACATTTACAGATTGTAATGCGCTAAAAAATCATTTCATTAAAAATATTTTGTTAGATCTACGCCAAGGTTTTGAAACTTAATTTCGCTCGCTTATTTTTCCAAACAAATTTCTGTTTTAAATTTTAATTGCCCTATTTTTCGTGAAATGTTCATCAAATTTTGGTTCTAATGTCTAAGAAGTCGCAGATCGTAAAGCAAGGTTTTGTGAGAAAATACGGAAGTTAGATTTTTTATTTTTATTTTTTATTTTATTTTTGTAAAATTATAAAAAAATAAAAATTCTTACTAAATATTTTTTTAATTGATTAATAGAATTTATAAGTTAAATTTTTATTTTATATTTGTGTATTTGGTCATTTTATTATTTTCACTAAAAATTGTTAAATTATTATATTGTTATAATAAATTATGATAAACTACTAATTGTGCAACTCATATTCATACAAACAAAGGATCACTTGAATCATTAATTACCTCCCCATGGAAAAAGATAAAAATTGAACTAAACAACGAAGGCTACCTCAGCTGGCTCAGAAAAGATGGTAGCATGCATGGGACCATCTGCTTAGCTGTCTGTTTATTCTTTTGTTTCATTAAAATAAAAAACATAAAATTAGAGAAATTTTAAAAATTTTGATCAGGTAATGTAATACGTAATTTGTAAAATATTATTATTAGTTAATATAAATATTAGTTAGTAATATTATTAAATGATTTTATTAGGTAATATTATTATGTGATAATTTATTAATTTATATAATTTGTTTGCTTATTTTAATATAATTTAACATTTTTTAATTTTCTACAGGTGATATACGAGTACTTTACGTTTGGGTCAAGTTGTCGAGCGATGCCATTTAGCCCCACTTTACCTCCGGATGGAAAGCTCGACAACATGTTTGCATTCCCAGAAGAACCAAGCAGAGGGAGCAGAATTCATTTCTTTTTATGCAATGACCATCATGATTTCAGGTTTGGTGTTGTCGTTAAATTTGTTATTTTAATTTTTTGAAATGGGGACTTAGTTATGGGGTGTTTAATTTTGGTTTTTTACAAATTTTTTAAATTAAAATTCATTTTTATGATTTTAATTAATTAATTATTTTATTCATTAAAAAAATTAATGTTTTTTTGTTTAAATTGTCTAAGCTATCAAATGTATTTATTTCTAAATTTTGATTTTAATTATTATTTTTTCTTTAAAGGAAGTGGATCTCTACAATCTATTCATATGTTAGTTTTATAATCTTTTTCTGTTTCTGTCCTTCATCTAACAAGATACACCTAATGGCAACAACTGCCTACATAAATGGCAACAACAACATCATGATGAATGAATTAAAACACCTTTAAAATGAATTAGAACACCTTTAAAATGAATTTAAACACATGTAAAATGAATTAAAACACCTTTAAAATGAATTATAACACCTTTAAAATGAATTAAAATATCTTTAAAATGAATTAAAACATCTTTAAAATGAATTAAAACACTTGTAAAATGAATTAAAACACCTATAAAATGAATAAAACATCTTTAAAATGAATTAAAACACCTAAAAAATGAATTAAAACACCTGTAAAATGAATTAAAACACCTAAAAAATGAATTAAAACACCTGTAAAATGAATCATAATAACCACTTACCTACAGTTTCCAATAAATTCCACCCTGCCAACACCTGCATCAACAACATCAGCAACATTTTCCAAGCAACAGCAACAACAACAACATGGAAACTTTACGAACCGACAGCATTTTATGCCACTTAATCCTTACGCACCTTCACCATTTACATCATTTCCTGTAACTTTTCATGGAAATGGACTGTTGGGTTCTGCTTGCACAGCAGATTCGACCCCAACGTCTCAGCATGAGACTAACTTTTTGCAGCAACCCCCTCAGCATCAACAACAGCAGCAGCAACAGAATTTATTCAAATATCAAGACAAAAATGATGATATTCTTCAACTAGACAGACAACACTATTTGCAATATAATTCTTTCCCATCAATGCAACTATCACAGCAGCAGCAACAGCCACGACAGCAGCAGCAGCAGCACAATTTATATCCACAGCAACCACAATTCTCTTACCAGCAACATCAATTTTATCCTCAACAGCCACAATTACGACGTTAGGGTTTGTTGCTGTTGCTTGCTATCATTGCTGCGCTGATAATTCTTTCAACAACAAAAATTACTATGACAGTAATAGATGACGACGATGACAATGATGATGATAGTAGTGACAACGATGATGATAGTAGTAATGACGATGACGATGATGATGATGGTTGTGATGACGATGATGATTGAGATAGTGATGATGATGATAAGAAGGATTGTTTTGTTGTCTGTTGTTGATTATGACGTTGATAGTGATGATGTGGTCATTATTGGTAATGACGAAAGTGAGTATGATTGGTAATGATGTTAATAACTGTGAAAATAATGATGATATAGACCACAATGATGAATACAGAAACAGGTGATCTTGTAAGTGGCGATGGAAATTTAAGGATGAATGGACAGCAAAAGCAGTCTGCGAACGGCAAAGATAAATTCATTAACAAATTTGGAAAATTTTCTTCCGGTTTGTTTCGACCGAATTTTTTGTGTAAAACATATGTAACATATTCCTCGATGTATTTAATCTATAGAAAAAACATAAGCAACTTTCTATATTCATTCTATGATTACACATTACAATTTAATAACGTTGGTCTAATCCATCCGCGTTTATATCCCAACTTTACAAGATAGGATATCACCATAAGATAAGATTTCACCATAACAATTGAACAGTAATCATAATTCAATTGATTCCTCAGGCGTGTTCAGTGGCGCCTTGATGACAATAGGAAATAAGTCTGGTCACGTGTTTGGTGGCGGGAAATGGGGCGTGACCCGTCCGTGGAATAGAAGAAATAGTTGGACGAGTTGCAGTTCGAGTAATTGGGACTCATTTAGTAGCGGGTCTTGGGGCAGTTTGTGAGGGTTTATGTCATTTAATTCTTTAAAAGTTTCAAGAAGTTCAGTTGCTGACTTGATTTTTTTGCAACTGATTCATGTTTGTTAGCTCCGTTTTTTATCATTGTTTTATTTCTATATTTTTAATTATTACTTTTTTGTTGATATGAACACTCCATCTTTTACGAAGCTAGTCATTTAGTTCATTACTTTTTTGAATGTTTCTTAATTAACACGTAAATGGAATTTAGAAACCAGTATGCTGTTATAGGATGTCGTTATTAGTCATCATCTCTTGGTTACCTCTGTTTAGCATTCCACTATATTCACGTTATTAATGTTAACATTTAAAAATTTTTAATCTACACGGATGTTTTTGGTGAAAATATAAATCGGTAATTTATCAACGAAGTATGTTTTAGATGATTGATTTGCCACCAATAGTGATTACTAATTGCTTGGAATTTCGCAAATTTTTACGACCAAACAAAGTGCCCACCATAGAGTAGTAACTATAATGAACTTTAGTTCCTATGTCTATCCCAACAAAGTCAATTTTTAATTGTGAAGCATAGTAAAGAACATTGATAGTAAAGTAACTTTGCAGGTTCAAACATTGATAAGTTAGGGAATTCGTGATTTTATTTGATTTACGTTTAATGATTAATTTGTTAAGTTCACGATCTAATTAGTTGTTTAGCTCTTTTTAAAAATTCTTTTGGTTTTATCATGCCGAAAGTGCTTTGATGTTTTAAAATTTGAATCGTAGGTGCAAAAATAGTTTTTAAAAATTATTTCAAAATTTAATTCATGACAAATTTAGTGTGACAATTTCGGCTGTCTATGTTAGTCTTTGTAAAGCGTTTTACGATCGCACGTCCATCGCTATATAATTCATAGTTTTTGGTAACTTCCTCATCATTTCACTGCTGATCGATTGTTGTTGGACTCAGCCATTTTCTATTAATTGGTAATTTATTCCGAAAAAGTTTTCCGTAGTTTTAAGCTTCCAGGTCCTGAACGATATTTTTGACAAAAATTAAAAAAGTAATTATTTAACATTATTTAATTTTATTTGGCACTTAAATAAACTTTACATCTTGAATAAGTATTGAATAGAATAATTAATAAAAAAACCTTGAAACGGGTTCTTCTGACGTTTCGCTTCTTGATGTCTTGCTATGATGATAAAACAAAATTAATAAAATGATTAACACAAGATGCCTTATAAAAGAAGAAGATCTCCCAGTCCGGTCTACAGCGGCCACAAAAAGTTTAGGGAATCTCCGAAACGAAGGCCAGAAAAGAGGTATGATGACCGTGACGACGATTATTTTTACCAGGGCGGCAGAGGCTACCGTTATGATGGCAGACATTTCAGGGGCCATCAGTGAGTCGTTTTTCAGTCCTTTAATAACTTATTTAAGCAATTATTTATTATATTAATAATAAAAAATGAAAAATAAGTTTTATTAGTCCCCATCTTAAAAGTTAATATAAAAATTTCAATTGTAAAAAAGTATCTTATTTTTTACAAGATTGAAACGTTTTCTAAATTGAATTTACAATTCTATTATTCTCAAGCTGCTTTCACCAACTCAGTTTGATCGAAAACTTTAATAGACGCAGACGATCCCCGAGCTGTAAAGCACTGACTCCACCACCATCTTCATCTTCGTCGTCATCTTATTGTCGTCGCCGATATGACTACAAGATGGCTAGGAAATACAGAAGATCAGATAGAAGAAAGTGTGAAGATAGGAAGGGTAGGTACTCTAGCAGTAGGAGTAGAAGCAGGAGGGGTAGAAGATCATTTTCATCAAAAAGGGTACACATTTAAACTTTTTTGTTTATTTTATTCACTAAAAATGAAACTGTTTCCTAAATAAGAATTTGTCTTGTTACTGGAGACTTTATGAGTAAACCTTGGTTACTTTAAATTATACGATGTCCCACAAGCAGTCACGTGTCATCAGTAGTCGTAGTAGCAGCAGAAACAGATCAAGCAGTCACTCCTCACGCAGCAGCAGTAGAAATCATAGCAAAAGCTACAAAAACAAAAAAAGAAACCACAGTAGTAGTGGTAGTAGCAGCAGTAGCAGCAGTAGGAGCAGTAGCAGATCTGTTGAAGTTAATAGATCTTCCAGTGTTCCAAATGATAAGGAAGGGCATCTTGTGTGTGTCCCTGGAGATGTGCTGGAATCAAGATGTTAGTTTTCTGCTTGCATTTGAGTGTTTTTTTTAGGGTGAATGTGTAGATAAGGGCTGTTGAATAATCATACATTTGTTAATGCTAGATTTAATAAATTTTTTAAAATTTATTCTGAATTTTTCTTCTGCTTATTTAATTTGTTTATTTAATTTAAAATTTTGTTAAGTTGCAGTTGTGTAAAAAAAATAAAAATTTGTTTCAGATATGGTCCAAAGCATATTGGGGGAAGGAACGTTTGGTCGTGTGGTGCAGTGTGTTGACTTTATGAGGTAATGATGGTGATGCATTTGATGATGATAAGTGTGATGAAGATGATAATAAAGTTTTGTTGGATAGTGATGTTAATGATTAGGATGAAAATGACGATAGAATTAATTTTACCTACAAGTTATAGGCTGGAATGGCAGTATTTTAATCACGTAACCGCCACACCTTGCAATGTTGTGTTAAATGTGGTGTAATATATAAATTTGTGACTATAATGGTAATAAATGATTACAACAATAACGATTTTGGTGGTTATAATAAAAATTGTTAAAAAAAAAAACTTTCTCCAGGAACAATAGCACAGTAGCCATGAAGATAATAAGGAACGTTAAGAAATACAGGGAGGCAGCCAAGCTTGAAATCAACGTTCTCAATAAGATAAACGAGCAAGATCCATATGGAGAACAGTAAGCGTATATTACATTCACCTGTCTGTCTGTCTAGCTGGCTGTCTGACTGTCTCTGTCACGTGTGACTAAGTAGTGATGCTTCGATAGGGATGATTATATATGGTGGTGGTGATGATGAAATGATGATGATAAAGATGGAATGGAATTTATGATAACATAAATAGTGATTATGGGGGAAAAATCAAAGTCAATTCTGGTGGTATGTCAATGATGATATAAATTTCTAAGAGTGAATGTAATACTAATAGCATGAATTGCCGCTGCAAGTCACCAATTATTGCAAGAAAGATGAAGACTTATTCAAAAAATGTTTCAATTGAAAACTAACTTGGATTATTAGTTTCCAATTAATAATTTCATTAACTGATTTACTTGCTAATTAGCAAATTTTACTTATTTTGTTTTACAAATTTAACCTTTGCAGTAGCTGTGTTAAGATGCTTAATTGGTTTGACTATCATGGACACGTCTGTATAACCTTCAACAAATTTGGGGACAGTGTCTTTGATTTTCTGGTAAATATTTAAAAACTAATTTTTTTTTGTTATAATTGTCTTTTAGTTGTTTCTGTTAGTTTTATTTAATGCAATGAAATTTTGGCCAGCTCTAATGGAATTTAATTTTTTTTAATTCTAAAAAATAGAAGAAGAACGAGTTTCAGCCGTTTTGTGTCGATCAAGTTAGACACATTTCATATCAGCTTTGCAAATCCGTTCTGTGTTAGTATTAATTTTGTTATTATTATAATTAATTTCATTTATTCATAAATGATTTATTACATTGTATCTATACCCATCTATGCATATAAGTATACAACATATATCATAAAATACCCCAATACCCACCTATGTGTTTTGTACACTGAACTGTGTACTGTGTACTGTATGATGGTGTACTGTACAGTCTTGCATGAAAACCGACTCACCCATACCGATTTGAAGCCGGAGAATATACTATTTCATAATTCGACCTCTGATGTCATATTCGACAGGATGATGGTAATTATAGTGATAATAATAATAATGATGATAATAATAATAATGATGTTGATGATGTTAAAATAATAACAGTGATGATAGATAAGATGTTATTGTACTGTATTGTATTGATGGATGAGTGTGATTTGTTGTTTCTTTTGTTGAAATTTTTCATTCATTCATTCAATCTCTGGTACATTCATTCATTCATGCATTCACTCATGCATGCATTCAGTCCCTCGTTTTGTGGAATCTACAAATGCTTTTAGTTTATGGTCACAACTGGATATCACTTTCTCTCCTTCCATTATTTACAATCTTCACCAGAGAGCACAAAGATGATGTAAAGTGCACAAAATGAACAAATTATATTTTTAATACACCCTCCAGAACAAATCAATAAATGTAGTTCGTTCGTCAGATATTGAACTCATCGACTTCGGGTCGGCCACATTTGATTACGAGCACCACAGCTCCATTGTTTCCACCAGGCACTATAGAGCACCTGAAGTATTATTAGGTTGGTAGAGTTAGGGAATAATTGATAGATAGGGATGTGTTGTTTTGTATGATTCCAAGTTGTTAAATTATTAAATTGGGAATTTTTTCGTTTTTTTTAATTTTTAGTAATTATATTATCAACATCTACTTTCTTAATATTTGTAATTGTTTCCTGTAAATGAGTTTATTTTCATGTTAATAGAGATAGGTTGGTCACACCCATGTGATGTATGGAGCATTGCGTGTATTATATTTGAACTGTACACTGGAAATACGTTATTTCAGGTTGGCAGTCTTTTTTTCATCATTTAAATCTTATAGCACAAACACTCGAAAAATATAAATAAAATTATTTGAAAGTAAAGATACTAATAGTAATTTGATGTGTAATTATTTATGACTCTTCGAATGTTGGTGAAATGACATCAGATGATCATTTTTTAATTCCTTTTCAGAGTGTATGAATCACAAAGTCTATTAATAATTATTATTTTGATTATTGCTATAATTAGCTTTAAATAACATAACATTGAATAGCTTCTACAATCAAAATGGTGATTCTTCAACAATGTAAATCTATATTTTAAAAAAATTTAAATTTTAAACTCCACAAATGGCAAACTTATTGAAATGTAATGACACATTGCAGACACACGACAACTTGGAGCACATGGCAATGATGGAGAGAATTCTCGGTCCGATACCTTACCATATGATCAAAAAGTCTAAGTATGTAATTTTTCTTATCCAACGTTTTGTCACTTTTTTCAGATAGTTTTTCATTTTTATTTACTCTTATTGAAACTTTTTTTTATTTAAATAGCATAATAGACAAACATGTATTAAAAAGCAAAAAATCTGTATGGTTTTTCATTATTTTTTCCATTCTTTTTATTTATTCTTCCTTTCCTGCTCCTACCATGTAACAGAAAAACGAAATATTTTCATCGCGGCAAGCTTGATTGGAATGATAACACATCGTCTGGTAAATATGTAAAAGAACACTGCAAAGTACTTAAAGTTAGTAATTAATTTTTTTGTTTATAACGTGTTACTAGCTAACTAACTTTATTTGTAGAACCTTCAATCTAGTAGTAGTATATTCATTAACTAGATTAACTATTCAGATGAATACTTAAAATGTATCAGGATTTAAGACTTAAATTTAAATGAATCATCACATACATTTTGAATAGTATTTTTTTATGAACTTATCAATGATATTATCTCGAATTTTTTATGAAATTATTAAAAAAAAATAATATTCTGATTCTCTTTACACCAGAGTTACATGCGAGAACACAGTTTAGATCACGAAGAGCTGTTTGACCTGCTGCTGCTGATGTTCAATTACGACGACAGATATCGCATTGACCTCAGGTCAGCTCTAAGACATCCATTCTTCAGAATGTTCAACTCCAGCCATGCCAACAATAACAATTATTATTATGATAATAATACTAACAATGGCTACGGAGCTGCTGGTGGTGGTGGTGATGATTACGACTGGGATGCTTATTATAGTTTGAGTAGATGATGATGATGATGATGAACAGAAAGATGAAGATTCTTTAAAGATGTAAATAGTAATTTGTTTGTAAAATTTTCTCGTGTGTAAATGATATGGCAGATGATGTGAGTAAATTATTTCTTTGTTAGCGTCAGCAATAATATTGATGTTCGTCATGTTAGACGCTCATTATCACCTGACTGTTGTATAATAATGTGAATCTGCAGTCTTACAATAAAACAATTTAAAATTTCGGATTGTCCATTTAAATTATTAATTTAAATCGCCAAGTGTACATAGCTTAATTTCGTTACCATTGTTGCTATTGCTAATTGCATTTTCTTTCCTCGTGTCTGTATTTGTATCTGTGTGCCTCAACGCATGCTTGTAAGTACGTCTGTATGTTTGTTAGCACTTGATGTTGAATAGTATTTTTTGTTTAACATTTCCTAAGTTACCTAACTTTATATCTAGAAACTAATGATGCAAACGCCTTAGCATGAGTTGTCGTTCATGCAGCATAAGCACATGTAACAGTGTAATGAATGACTGATATCCTGATACCGTTTTAAGATCTAATACTAGTTATTTATTATCTACTCGTTGTTTAACTGCCAAATACCGTTGTGTCCTATACGTTTTTACGAGTCGAGGCAAGCATGCCTGTTTCAAATCATTAACATTTGTTTTTTGTTTAGTTACATCAATAAAAATGTCAGATAAAAGAGAGTTAGAAATTAATTAAGGTTTTAAATCGTTAAACTGTTCAAACCTTCTATGGGCATAGGCGGACAGGTTAGTAATTGTTATATTGTGAGATACAAATTCAGATTACTGTTAAACGTAAGTAGTGAGTAGTAAGACTACATTGAAACTCAATAGCAGTTACTGCATCATACACTGAACGCAATTTAAATCCACCTTAATTTCGTTAGTGAGATTGAAAAGATATCTGAATTTATCAAAAAACTAGTTCTTGAAGTTTATAGTAAACTTTAAATAACAAAATAATATACGCACATCTTAATAATGGAGATTTAGATTAAACTTCTTGTAGGTACTGTGAACATATACAATTCAATGAGTGCATACAATATTTTACATGTAATTATCATAAGGTTGTTTGTAATGTACATTGCTGGGAATATAGAGATATATAAATTAGATATGCATGTACGCAAAAAAGGTTAGGATAGTTTAGTGGAGACAATTTTGTTCTTCCTCAGTGCATCTCTTTCAAGTTTTTTCTGCTGGTGTTCCATTAATTTCCTTTCTCTTTCTGACCTGCGTTTGTCCCTCACTGCATCTCCACTGATGTCTTCCATTGTTTCCTCTGGCCATCCTCCACAATCCACATCCTCCAGGGTCCCCAGGTCATTCTAGTTTGAGTGCATTGAGAATTGAAATTATACTAAGCATACAATTATGTGGAATTTTCACTTGAGATGGTTGTTTGAAATGAGAAAATTTTGATATATATGCTGGTTGTAAATCGTGTTGAATTAGTTGAGTGATAATAGATTTTTATTGTAAGTAATTTTGTATCACTGACTGAAATTGTTGGAATGTCCGAAACCATGGCTAATCTGTTAGAAGGTACATTCTCTTCTTTCTTTCTTACTATAATCTTTAAATAATTTTTTTAATCTATCACACTAAATTATGATAATCTAATAAAATAATTAACCAAAAAAAAAAATTTAGAAACAATAGAGATAAGCACTGAAAACCTTTTGAGTTTTTCTGATTTCTGGCTCAAGCTGTAATTCTTGAAAATAATCAATGTCTATCTCAGGATCACCTGAATCTTTTCTATTTGAACCTTTATTCTGTCCCCCAGTAGATGACAAATGATAGTGAGACCCATTGTGAAAATTGGCTTGAGTTCGGTTTGCTGATGGATTTGTTGAAGTTTTTGCATCAACTCCCCAAACTTCCCATGATTCTAACTCTACCTATTTCAAATAAATTAGTTAAAGTTAATAACAAATTGCTAAGTAGTGAAAATGTCTTCTAAGCTACATACAGTCGATGTCATACAACATCACCACACACACACACCTACACACGAATACACGCACACACAAATACACGCACACACACACACATACATGACACAACACACACATGAAGGTTGTGAGTTATGTTAATTGATTACCATTATTAAGTGTACTTGGAATTGTTAAGTTAACAGTTTAAGACAAATAAAAATGAAACTCATTTCATATTATTTATTAATTTAATTAATCTTTTAAATATAATAAATTACAAGTGATAAATAAATCATTAAGTTGTTAAATTTTAACAACTTACAGAAAAACAAGTTAATTTAACTGTCTTAAATCACATCTGAAACAAATAAAACCGAAAATATACGATCAAAAAGAAGTAATTACAAGAAAAATAAATAAAATACATTAAGAAAATAATTAAATAAATTTGTTACAGACATCATTGGTAGGCACAGGCAGTTGGATATCAGCCGACAAGGATTTCGACGTGCCGTGCATCGGCAATATCGATCCGGAGTTCTTACGATTTCTTTTCAAGTGCAGAAAACACAACAATTTATTAAATAAATAAAATATTTTAGTAAAACAACGAAAAACCTTTCCTAAAATCGACATTTTACAATCCTCACTAAGACGAGATAACTAGACAACAGCAACAATATAAGATTGATCAACCGGTTTCGATTAGGTTGGCCTTACTTACGAAATAGCATGCTATATTAAATATTTATTTGACTTAATATGCCTAAAACAATGTAGTAATTCTATTTAATCTTATTAAATAGAATTATGTATTGTTAAATTATTTTTTTAATTTGAATATAAAAATTGCTTTTGTCCGGTGAAACCTGTTGGCTTTCTGAAGCCATAGGTTGGTTTACTAGGATTGAACTATAGTCACTCTTTTTTTACCATATTCGACCCTGCAAAACTTTTGTTTGCTTATGAAACAAACGACGTAAATAGATAAAAATTGTTATTCGAACAATTATCTTCATTATATTCGATGAATATTTTACATTCTAGTGCTCATAGAAAATGGTTGCTGAAATCATGAGGAACGATCATCACGAGGAGACCACCATCTGAAACGTGCTGACTCCCACCACTGCCCACCTCTCATCATTCTGTAGATAAAATTTTTTTATTAGCGTAGTAGTAAATGGATGTTAGAACGAAGGAACCAACTTTGATTGATAAAGTGAATGAATGAATAAATTAATCAATCAATGAATCAACGAATGAATATAATGAATCAATAAATCAATTAAATAATTTAAAAGATTGAGTGAGAAAATGAATGAATGAGAAAAACAAAAAACAAAGCTAAACCTTACTTCAAAAATCGTAGTTACTGTAATACATTGCACCGACCATCACCATCTGGTCAGCACACAAGATGTCATCCGAACTGCAGAGTGTCAGTCGAACAGCCAACTTCCTACACGACCATCATCATACGTAAATCATCATGAGAGATGAGACCACCATCTGAAACGTGCTCATATTAAGTCAAACTTATATTTAAAATTAGTTGCTTGTTAAAACCTATGCGATTTCGTAAGTAAGCCAACTAACTTTATTCAAATCTGCTAAAGTAATTAGTAGGAGCGGTTTGCTTGGCTTTATCAACCTGGACCCCTATGAGACTCGGTTATGCTCATTAAATATGTACACATACATTCTTACACACGTACATATATGCAAACAAACGTGAAAACAAATTTTTTAATCTGAAATTTTTTTAATCTGAAATTTTTTTAATTGAAAATTTAATTTTGTGGGCGGTTTTTCAAATAACGCACTTGAATCCGCATCCGCTGTATACCGCACAAACAAAATCCGAAAAATCCGCGGAGTTTTGAGAATTTTTTATCCGCAACCGCAGTTCCGGTGCGGTAACTGCAAACCGCAATTCCGGTGCGGTAACTGCGGTTTGAAAGCGCTTTGCGGTTGTCCGCTTTAGGCTGTAATTGGCGAGCATCGACCTCCACAAAACCCGATCTTTAACACTTTGTAGTAGTTGAAATGGGGTGATATTCATCAAATACTAAGTTTATTATTCATTAATAGATTAGAATTTATTGTGAAATGAAAAGAATTTTAATTTATATGACACGTATCTATGAAACGTGTTGTAATTTTCAGGCATTACAAATTATTAGAAAAACAACACAAATCAAAGGATAAGTTTCATTTTTATTAAAATTTAAACCAATTGAAAGCACCGTTAAAATGTTTTAATGATAAATTTTTTCAACATTTTCAATGATTTCAAGGTTCGACGATCTTCAATTCAGTTTTCATTTGTTTTACTCATGACGGCTGCTACATGAAACATATTGAAAATTTGAATTTTTACAAAATACGAAATTACAAAAGTTACAAAAATAATTTTAAATCTTGGAAAAATTCTTAAACGCGTGGCACAAAGTTTACCGAAATAAATAGATAAAATTGATTAAATAAATAAAATAAATCTTTCCTCATCATAATAGCATGTTTAGTTTTGAAGACGTTAACCACTTTTACTGATTTCTCTGAATTTTCTTTCGACCAAGGCGCAATTGAGTACCATTGGCCATTGAATTTGAAGTTACCAGTCTATAGTAAAAAAAAAATTAAATATTTTAAATAATTATAACCACGTATATTGAAATGATTTAAAATTAAAATGAAAAACAACAATAAATAAATTATGTTTTTGCATAATTTGAATTCAAATCTCACCCCAAAGTTGTTATAAGAGCAAATGCATGGTAATTCTATTCTTATGTGTATATGTTGATGTATTTTAATCTAAAAATTCAGCGCTACACAAAATTATTTGTTCACTTCACTTATACCAAAACACTTTAATAACCCATCCATCTGTCAATGCTAATCTTACAGCTTACTATTTATTTATTATTTAGTATTCACATTTTGATCCCAGATAAGTTGGGCTTTTGTTTAATCAATTAATGCATTAATTTTTAATAATTAAATTAGGCTACTAACTACTGCTAATACAACAACATAAATAACTTGTTTTTTAAACAAGTCAACAAATGTTCCTTAAAGCTTAACTTAATTAACCTAACCCTGCCCCTAATTCTCAATTATTACTAAATATAAAATTAGAATTATTTATTATTTTATAAAAATATTTAATTTACCATACTTTTTATTTTTTGAAAATAGCCCAGAACTGCTTTTCCCAAGTCCTTACAAAAAGCAAGCTGATAAGATTAATTAAATATTTTAACTCTTTTTGTATCTTATCTTATCGCTATCTTATCCGGCCTGATTTGTGTTATTTTTAAGTAATTGGAATCGTGCAAGGAAAAAAATATTCCTCCATTCCATTGCTCTAGTTTTCAGTAAGAAGTTATTCATTTTTTATTTGGCTTACTTACATGCTTTGTTGTATATATTATATTATAATACTAATGAATAATAATACAGACATAATTTAAACTTTGTATGTGGCATTGTTTTATCAATTGCAGCATTTCCATAATAATTTAATACCAGCCAAACAAAATTATTAAAATTTTCTTCATTTTAACTTTTCAAGATCCAACGGAATGGTGTGCAAATGTTCAGCTGTTGGCTGTAGGAGTGGTTATAATTCCAGTCGCAAAAGTGATTTAGAGAACAACATCTCGTTTCATTCTTTCCCGTTGACTAACCCAGAACTTTGCAGTAGATGGGTGGCAGCCTGTCGTCGCAAACATTTCCAACCAACCAAATACTCTAAGATTTGCTCCCTGCATTTCCTTCCATCTGATTTTTCTTACTCTTGTTCTGATTCCAACTTATGCCGTAGAAAGAAGAAACATCTCAACGATGATTTGATGAGAAAAAGATTGAAGGCAAATGCAATACCAAGCATTTTTCCAAATGTTTCATCTACTAAATTCAATAAACAGTGTCATGCACACAGGAAAATTCCAATTGATGATGACCACATTCTTTCTGTCATCGAGATCAAACCAACTGAACCAGCCTTCCAGTCGGAGTTTGATGAAAAAATTGAGGAGTGTGATGAAGATGCTAGTGATTGTAAAGATGAGCATGAAGTTTGTATGCCTGCTTTTTGTTCTGTTTTAGCTGAATATTTCCTTAATGGCTGCAACCTCTCCACTCATTATTACATTCTGCCGACTTGATGACATGTTATTTAACATTAAAACCTGAAACTTTATTTGCAGGAAGCTGTAGAAGAAGAGGTGGATAAAAACATCAAAGACAATGAGAAAATGATTATTGCAAATGAATCCATCGAGGTGTTGCGTGACATTCAAAATGATGAAACCTACATAGTCATCAACCCGAAATACACTGATCCTGTCAGCGGTGAAGTCATCATCGAGGTATGCAGAGAAGGAACTATGAAAAATTCAGATGATGCACAACAAGATAAAACTGAAAAATTAAAAGGTTCTTATAAATTATACAAGTGCCCTAGTTGCAACCTGCATTCATACAACACAGAGGACTTATTAATACACAATGTAAAGGAACACATTAAGAAACATGACGTCAGTTCTGATATCAACAACACCTCAACAACCAACAACAGCAGTACAGTTAATGCAGTTGAACAATACTCGTGCAGATCATGCATGCTTTCATTTGTTACAGCTGGAGATCTTAAAACACACAACAAGGTGCATGTTGGGGAGAGACCTTTCAAGTGTTCTGTCTGTGGCAGATCATTCAAGGACAACAATTACTTTCGTCTACACTCAAAAATCCATTCCAAGGATAGAACCTATCCTTGTAGAATCTGTAATGAGCCTATTCAATGGGACCAGTTGAAAGACCACAGGGAAACACATATGAATGAAAGGCCGTTTGAATGCACTGTTTGTAAGAAATCATTCAAATTGCGCCAGCAGTTACGAGCCCACATAAAATTGCATGCACGCGAAAACAGGAGTGTGTGTGAATATTGTTGCAAACTGTTTGCATCAGTTGAGGAATTGAACTCACATGTGGCAAGCCATGTCAAGGATAGGCCATTCAAATGTTCCATTTGTCTTAAGTTACTCAAGTCCAAATTCTCCCTGGAGTATCACATGAAGTGGCACCAGGAGAGAAAGCATCTTGTATGTGCAGTCTGCCACAAGTCATTCACACATCGGCATAAGCTGAAGTCTCACGTGCAAATTCACCAGGAAAAGAGAATCAAGCCTTTTTCCTGCAAGATATGCAACGCATCTTTTGTTTCAAAGGGCAATTTATCAAAACACGAAGAAATACACAACGACATCCTACACACCTGCACTCTCTGTAATAAATCCTTCCAGAAAAAAAGCAATTTGGCCAGTCATATGAAAACCCACTCAGATCAACAGCCTGAAAAACGTCATACGTGCGACAGATGTGGCAAGTCGTTTGGCACGTCCCATATTTTAAAAGTCCACATGAGGATCCACACAGGGGAACGACCTTACACCTGCAAGATTTGTGCTGCCAGGTTCGCTCAAAAATCCACGCTCCGCTTTCACAATAAATCACACGACCTACTACTATTTAAATGTGACACCTGCGATCTTCACTTCAAAAAAGTGTCCTCTCTGGAGAAGCACCGAGTAAAACATACCATGACAAAGTGTAAGATCTGTGAGAGGTCATTTTTGAGCAAGAAGAGTATAAGCAAGCATATGAAACTGCACACTGGCCTATGGATATTCAAATGTACCTTCTGTGATAAATCCTTTGAGGTGAAGAAGTGGCTTCACGAACATTTGAAAGTTCATACATCAAAGAAACAACGCCTCCATAATAATAATAATAATGATGATAATAATAATGACAATAATAATAATAACGATAATAATAATAATGATGATGATGATGATGATGATGATAATAATAATAATAATAATAATAATAATGATAATAATAATGATAATATTAATGATGATAATGATAATAATAATAATAATAATAATAATAATAATAATAATAATAATAATAATAATAATGGTAATAACAATGATACGTTCGCAGTTATCAGTATGGGAGTGATCCTTTATGATGATGCCATTTCTAATGTTGATGACGCCGTTTTTAATGTCGGTGATGTCACCGGTGATGTCACGTCTCGTGTCGATGACGTCATTTCTAACTTTCAGGGCAGCAGTGTCTGTCTGGTTTGTGCTTTGAGATACATTCCTCTTTATGTTGTTTTCAGATTTTAAGATGTTAAAATCAAATAGTTGATTGGTTGATTGATTGGTTGGATGGCTGGTTGATTGATTGGTTGATAGGATAGTTGATTGGTTAATTGATTGGCTGGTTGATTGATCGAATTTATTCTTAATGACATAATTCATATATGTACTTGCAGACACTTCAGCACACGAACGTACATGGATCTGTGCTGGAAGATAGGAAGAACAATGGTGAAGAAAAATCCATTGATGGTGGTGATGGTGATGGGCGAACGGAGAAAATAGTAATGACTCAATGATATTTGGTAGATTAGGGTAATTGAAAGCCGAAATGATATATTTATAATTTTGTTAATTTACCATTATTCATTCAACTCATATATATATATATATATATATATATATATATATATATATATATATATATATATATATATATATATAGGATATAACAATATAATATAATATAGTATAGATGTTATATTTTATATGTATTATTCAGCTGCATTACCGTGTTTAAAATATTTATTTTTTAATATCATTAATAAATAGTGAAGTTAATTAATATATTATATCGTAGAAAATACCATTTCTTATTTGTTGATTTTCTGTTTATGTATTTTATTTCAAATTCCTTTTTTTTGAGCTGAAATTTTGTATGTATGTGAATAAATTCAATAAAAAAATTGTATGAATTCGTTTAAATCGGGCGTTGTTTTTATTTTCCCAAAGTTTTAATTCAATTTCACCTTTAAGTATTTATAATTACAACAAATTAAAAAAAATGTTAACATACTAAACGAAAAGTGTATTATAATGTTTAAGAGTTAATAAATCAGTGAAGCAAAGACACACAGGATAAACTAATGAAACACACGAGTGAGCAATTAAATAATCTGTTGGCAATTAATGCTAATGTTGATTAGTAGGCAGCTGGTGTTGAAGCTAAATTGATCTATTTCACGTAAAACTAGGTTCGATCACCAACTAATTGTTTGCTGGTCTGTCCTTTCATTTTTTCGTTCATTCATTCATCCATCCTATCATTCGTTCGTTCATTCATTCATTCGTTTGTCAGTCAATTTATTTAATTTCTTGATTAATTCGCTCCTACGATAAATTTGTGCGTGTGCGTGTACTGGCGTGTGCGTGTGCTGATGTGTGCGTGTGCTGATGTGTGCGTGTGCTGATGTGTGCGTACTATCATACGCGCCAGCATACATAAAATGATTCGTAAATCATAATATTCAAATGGAAAAATTTTTTAGAATAGCAACCTGTCGTCTTATGTAACTTACATCCTTGTCCTCAAGTTATAAAAAAAGGGACGAAAAATAGAGAGTTTATGTCTCAAAGAGGAAAAAAGAGAAGAATAAAGAGAAAGAGAGAGAGTAAGTAGTCAGTGGCAGATCTAGGGGGAGTTGGAGTGAACACTGTCCCCTTCAGTTGTGAGGAGTTTTTTTAATAAAAGTCAGAAACGACCGTTTTTTGTGTAAAATCGGCTGAAAATTGAAAGCAACAAGCAAAAAAAATGTTATGAGTTGCACTACCAAAAATCTTGGACCACCCTCGTAAACATTTTGCCCCCTCCCCCTCCCCGTCAAAGTTGTCTAAATCCGCCACTGTAAGAAAGTGCGGATCACTTAGAAAGAGCGAGAGAGAGAGAGAGAGAATGTTATACAGAGAAAGATAGAGAGAGTAAGTCATAGAGGGAAAAAGAGAAAAGAAAAGAGAGAGATAGTTATAAATGGAGAGGGCATAATATAAAAAGGCGATCTTCCAGGACATTTTGTTGTCATCGTTTGAGTTTGGCTGTTTTTAAAGGGATTAAAAAACTTTTTTCTGATCTGTATTTTGCCGCAGTTTAATTTTCATAGTTAATTTAAAAAAAAACAAAAATAATTTTTTAATTTTTATCTCACAACAATAAATAAATGATGAAAATACACGCACACAAAACATCAGAGATGACGAAATCATCACTTTGTCCTAATTTTTATAGTCCTAATTTTCAAAAGTGAAGAATACTAACAAGCTAACAACAACAATAACAACGACAACAACACTAACAACGTCAACAGCTACAACAATATCAACACCATCATCAACAACAACAACAACAATCTCAACAACAGCAACACCCAAATACCAAACAAACTAGACTAACAAAACTTGATAAAAATAATTAAAAGAATATTATCCATCTAAAATAGCGCCCTCTTCTGTCAGCCATCAACAACTACTTATTGAATTTTTTATGAAACGAATTAGACAAACAAACAACTATCTACTACTGGAGTTACCAACTTGCGGTAAGATACTACTTAATTATACTTCTATTTTACTATCAAGCATTTACTATTGTTAACGCAGTATATTAGTAACTGTTAATAAAAATTTTAGTTAACATTATCAAAGTATTTTAACGCCTTCTTCGCTAATGTAATTGTACTAATCGCTAATTGTACTGTTCAATCATTAAAGCGTTATTAGTATATCCATTTGTTAGTAATTTGTGTAGTATTGTTTACATTAACGAATGTTAGTATATACTAGTATTTGTTGCACTGCTAAATATTTTATCCTCATTAATTCAAATTTTTCACAATACAAAATTATATTTTCACACAAAAAATTTATTTTTTTCAAATAAGGAATACGTTGAAAAAATACTTTCATGTTGTTTGATGTCAATTATTATTAGCTATATTGAGTTACATTGGGCTCGGGTATCATTTGTATTTTTTGTTGTCTGTTCTTTTATTAGATTATTCCTTCCTTCATTCATTCAATCATTCATTCATTCATTCGTTCGTTCGTTCGTTCATTCATCCATTCATTCATTCATCCACCCATTTATTCATTCATTAAGCCATTCATACATTCAATCCTTTTTTTCATTTATTCAATTATTCATTCATTTATCTATTTATTCATTCATCTATTCATTCCTCAAACCATCCATCCATCCACTAATTTACAAATCCGATACTTAGATACTTACAAAGCACTAAATACGGATACTTACATTTTATTAACCATTCGAAATGTCAGCCAATGAAACTATGCCAGCTGATTTTTTATTTCAACATAATCACACAAAAAAACTAAAAACAACAACAAAATAACAATAAAAACTACAACAACAACATCAACAACAATAACATCTAGAGAAACATCAACAACATAACACAAACACAACAACAGCCTAGCTCCAACCACAACATCATCATCATCAACAACACTTAACGACAACACCAACAAAACAGAAACAACAAATAAAAATAAATACTAAAGCAAACACATTGAGGTCCATGGACCATATAACACTTTATACGAACCGAACAGGCATGCATAATCTTCAGACTTTTTAATATCTTGGCTTACTAAAATAACAGAGTGTATTTTTTTGTTTTTGTTTTGTTTTTGTTTTGATTTTTCACAAAAAAACACACGAATACCATAAAAAACAGTCTAGTTTTGTTTATCTGTATGCCTGTCTAGTATGTATGTTTCGTTTGTATATAACACAATGCGTGCAAGTTTGTTAATGAAAGATTATTGCATTTTAATTTAGATTTTTTTAGTATAAATTGAAAAAAAAAACAAAAAAAGGCTATGAGTATATATATTAACATGTATGAGTGTATTATTTGAACATGCTGTTCGTTCAGTAACCGTCGTAGAATGGTGAAGAGCGAGCAGTATACAAGTATGTATGTAAGACGTTTGTATAAATATATATGTGTGTGTGTATGTGTGTATTTATGTGTGTGTGTGTATGTGTTTGTATTTATGAGTGTGTGTGTGTGTGTTTATGTATTTACGATATGCTTTTAACTTTTTCCTGAGAGATTTTAATTGTTGGATCTTGCTTCATTTAAGAATTTTAGTGCGGGTAGGTACAAAAAAATTAGTTTTTTTTCTGAAGTGAAGAAAAATTTGAAAACAGAGAAATAAGAATGTAAGTAAATAAAAAATAAATAATGAAACATGGAAGAACTTACAAAAAATATACAGAAACAAACAAAGCAAATAGAAAAATTAACAACAATTAACCACAAATTAACAGAAAACATGAGAAAAAGGAAACAAAAAAGCAAAAAACCCAAAAGATAGCTCTGGCGAGAGATGGTTTCCTCTGAAATATAAACGTCAAATGAAAGAGGAACGTACGAGCCAATAACAACCTTACCTGCCAAGAAGCGTAATTTCATATTGAAAAAATATTTATGTACCACGAAATAAGAAACTTTGTATGCCTGTGTATGTGTGTGTGTACGTGTGTGTGTGTGTGTGTACGTGCGTGTGAATATATGTGTGTGTGAATGTGTTTGTGTGTATGTGTGTATGTATAGTGGGTATTGAGTTACTACCATTAATTCATTAAGCAAACCCCCCCAAAAAAAATCTAAAGACAAAGGCATATAAAAATATCTACATAAGTAACATACAGTACAATTACTTTTCATTCAGAGTCATGCGACGAAAGACAATGCCGTATGTGGAAGCATCATTAGATGCTTGTCTGTCATCCTCACCATCATCATTCGCATCATCATTTTCATCATCCGCACTAATATCATCATTATCATTGCTATTATTATCATCGTTATTATTAATATTATTATTAAAATCGTCAATTTAATCTTTATTATCATCGTATTTACATTAACAACATCTTTTTTGTTACTATCACCATCATAATCACAACTTAATTACCATCATTATCATCATCATCTTCATCACTATCATCCCCATCATTTTCATCTTCCTCTTCATCCTCATCGTCATCATCACATATTCATCGTCGTCATCAGCTTCATTTTTTTAATAAAATCATATAATCCGGTTTACTTATTTTAATCAATCAGTTTTAAACATAATTCACACGTACGCACATACACGAATAAACACACATACACACACATAAACAAACACATACATTATACATAGGAATTTATATTATAATTAATATATAATTATGACTAAGATATAATTGTGGGGTGGAATATTTATGTGTATATGTTTATGTATGAAACAGTTATTACGTGAGAATGATTGAATGTATATGGGCAGATTATTTTTATGTATGCAATTTTTTTATTTGATTATCTTGTGTGAGTGTGTGAGTGTGTGTGTATATGTGTATGTGTGTGTATGTGTCATTCGTGTGCGTGCGTGTGTGTGTGTGTATGTGCGTGTGTATGTGCGTGTGTGTGAATGTGAATTATTTAGTATGTGGCATACTTTTGTCATTAAATCTACCTGCTATTAAATGTTAGTAATTGGACAATGATGATGTATGTATGAATGTTAGTTTCTATGTATGTGTGTGTAGATGTATGTGTATGTTTGTCCTACACATGTATTTTTGTTTATTTGTTTATATTTATGGAAACAGTCCGCTGTGATGTTTTAAAGGTTATTCTATTCTGAATAGTTATTCAAACCTTTACGCCAGATAGTATGATAGTCACTGAGTCAGACAGTATTCGAATACTGACTGAGCTAACTCGGCTATGCAAGGATGTTTGTGTGTAGTAGTATGTGTGTGTGTGTGTGTGTGTGTGTGTGTGTGTGTGTGTGTGTGTGTGTGTCTATTTGTTTGTATGAATGTGTGTGTGTAAGTACGTGGAGATGCTTGTTTATAAACTTTTTCACGTTAATACATATGTGTATTGTGTCAGCAAGATCTAACTACTATAATAAAATTATTTTCACACATGTGTGATACATATATACACTGCTGAATATCCATAAGTATCGCTACGTTTTTGTACATATGGCAATGTCTTCATTGATATTGTCATGCTTTAGAGAGTGTAATTTGAGATATTTGTGAATGTTATGACGAATCTGTTGAAGCACCAAACAAACATACAGGAACATTAGTATGCATGCGTGATGGTCCGTTAAACAGGAATTAACCTTTACCAACATGCAGCCAGAACAATTTTTCACCTTATTTTGAAATGCAAATTAAAACATTTTAAGCTAAACGCAAATTGCGCCTTAGGATATCAAAAATTTTACATTCCTTAGAAAATGGCGGAATTTTATTTTGGAAACTTATGACCAATGTCGTCCCTTTGTCTATATCGTTCGGATGGTTTACTGTGTATGTGTAGACTGTAGTTTTGGTAAACTCTCAAGTCTAGACTAGTTAAGTTTGGCGGTTTAAATTTGGTTAGAAATGTAAAAATGGTTTTGGTTCATAATTTGTCAATATCTAAATCCGAGCGTTTAATTATGGTTAGGCGTCAACTTTTAAACAGCATATGAATATAATTGTGTTAATTTTTTTCAATTAAAATTTTTTCCTGAATTTTAAATTTTTTTTGATAATATATGCAAGAATAAAAAATTTTATTTATAACATGTCAGATACAGTCGTCAGAATCTATAATGAATATTTAAATGAACACGATTTCCTGTAAGAAAAATGTTCACTGTTTTGAGATGAGTTAGAAAAAAAAACTTTTCATTTACTTACAAATAACTATTCACGTGAATAACTTGGAGATAAAGGGGAGAAAGGGAGAGTGAGGCGGATCGATTAAGCGATACCTGTCAGACATCAATAAAAGTCACTTTTGCATGGTTCTTTGATAGTTCAGGGTTGTGATTATCACGTAACAAAAACCTAATTAATTACTTTTCGCTGGCGGCAAACTTTGTTAGAGTGTTTCAGTTTAGCTATCCCTACATACATCGAACATAACTGATATTGATCTAGGAATAAATTCTAAAACTTCAAAATTTGCAGATAACACTAAATTATGTGCTGTTGTAGACAACGAGTAAAGATATTAAAATTCTAGCTTGCAAATAGGCAGAGGATTGGCATAAGCTATTCATTACTAACAAATGTGCCGTCAAACACATGGGAGCGAACAAGAAGGCAAACGTATTCAAACTTGGAGACACACCACTAAAAATGTAGAGGAGGTGATGGATCTAGGGGTAATAATTTATCGGAATGGTAAGGTAGGGTGGCAATGCATCGAAGCAAACTGGACTCTGGGTATGATAAAAAAAAGCAAAGATATGATCATCATATTAAACCAATATAAAGCATTGGTTCGACCGAAGTTGGAGTATTGTGTTCAGCTTTGGAATCCAGATTTACAAACGGACAAACATATGCTCAAAAATATTCCAAAAAATTGATATAATTTCAACAAAAATTTTCGTCAACATAACAAAAATATGCTGGTTAAATTTCAATAAACTTGTAATAATTTTTGGTCGAGTGATAATTTGTTTAAGTTTTTTGTTTTAATGTTTGTGATCAAAGAAAGATCAAAGAGCCGCCAAAAAGTGACTTTCATTGTCACGTTTAGACCACTTTTAAGAAAATCGACCGATCAATCAATTGTTACATTATTAGTGGTCTAAATATGAAAAACAATACAAGGGAGGCAAACCTTAAGTGATACTTGTCGGGTGCCTCTTTAATCTTACGTAACAACAACTTAAGCTATTTTACGCTTTGATCTTTCACGATATTACGTAATAACAACTTTGTTAAAGTGCCAAGTTCGAAATAACTATAACTTGACACAAAAGTCCTTTTATAGATAATTTTTGGTGACCCACCAAAAATTATCTATAAAAGGCAGACAAGAATAGAAGAGCCTCATAACCAAGTTGATCAGCCAGCGTTCACGTCAGCCATCAAATTAGACAACAGACACCTGCTGTAAATTTCCAATAACAAAATTCAACAATAAATTCAGCGATTAATACAACAATAAATTTTGGAACAAATTCAAGCGATAGCATTACGACAAATAGAATTTACCAAGAATTTTCCTAAAGCTATTTTACAAATAACTCTTTCATCCATCGCCAGACACTATTTTACAAATATCCGACTACTCCTCAAGCAAACGAATAAATATGAACAAACACATGTGCTCAGAAAGCAATTGCATCTTTGAGAATTGTTGTAAAGTCGAACGTATTATTAAATACGTACAAACCGGTTCGATATCAGATTCACTCAGCCGAACTGTCAACACTGATCAACAAGAACGTGAGGAGGAAACGTGCAGCATTTGTTTGGAAGCGATAGAAACAAACTTTGCTTACCTGGCCGGTTGTTCGCACGGCTTCTGCAGAGCGTGCATCGACCAGTGGAGAGTGAAGAGGACAACATGCCCACTCTGTAGATCTCCATTCCATCTCACCATCTACACCTCAATCAGGGCTACCAGGGAGGAAGTTGACTATTTGAAGGAACAACACTTCCTGTGCCCGTTCAATGAGGCGCCACATCACCAAGTGACATACAGCCCTCGAGTCATAGAGCAGTTTCTGAACATCATGAGGTGCAATGTACCCATCGACCAGCTGTTTGCTCCGGATAAGCTGATGAGTGCAATACAACAAATTTATGACTACGTCTTCACACGGCAAACTTGAGTTGTCTAAATAGTTTTTTGTAAACTATGTCGATATGTGTGTAGCATGTAAATAGTTTTTTGTATGTGAATAGTTTTTATGCAAGTAAATCAATTTTGAACGTAAATAGTTTTTAGTATGTAAATAGTTTTTGCATGTAAGCAGTCTGTTGTATGTAAATTGTTTTAGTATGTAAAAAGTTTTTAGTATGTAAATAGTTTTTTATATGTAAGCAGTCTTTTGTATGTAAATGGTTTTTAGTATGTAAATAGTTTTTAGTGTGTAAATAGTTTTTTGTATGTATGCAGTCTTTTGTATGTAAATTGTTTTAGTATGTAAATAGTTTTTTGTATGTAAATAGTTTTTTGTATGTAAATTGTTTTAGTATGTAAATAGCTTTTTGTATGTAAATAGTTTTTAGTGTGTAAATAGTTTTTTGTATGTATGCAGTCTTTTGTATGTAAATTGTTTTAGTATGTAAATAGTTTTTTGTATGTAAATAGTTTTTTGTATGTAAATAGTTTTTTATGTAAGCAGTCTTTTGTATATAAATATTTTTTAGTATGTAAATTGTTTTAGTATGTAAATAGTTTTTTGTATGTAAATAGTTTTTTGTATGTAAATAGTTTTTTGTATGTAAATAGTTTTTTGTATGTAAACAGTCTTTTGTTCGTAAATAGTTTTTAGTAAGTAAATAGTTTTTATGTAAGTAAATCAATTTTTTATGTAAATATTTTTTCTGTATTTAAATAGTTTTTTGTGACATTTCAGCAAATAACTTCAATTTATTTTTCTACGTGATTTAGATGAGATTTATTACCAATAAAATATCAAAAAATTTTAGCATTGAGTTGTTCACCTTTCTCTTACTTTCAGTTTCGCTATGTATTGGTTCGATTGTCTCGTTTCAACGTTGAAAATCGTTTAAAGTTTAAAATCGTGTTTCAGGATAATTTTGGCACAATTTGATTGTAGCAACTATTAGGCTAATTAATGCTGTTTATCATATTTAAATAAATTAATAAATTAATAAGTAAATAAATAAATAAAATTAAAACAAATTTACAAACGCATTACATGAACATACACAAAACTGACATTGACCCATTTACAATTTTTTCTAATTAACATTACGTAAAGAGCGTGTTTAAACAAGACCATCAAGTCGAGTTTTTGGAAATGGCAAATACGTTAAAGGAGACGAAAATTATATAAAAAATTGAACAAATACTCACGTACACACATACACGTACACACATACATGTACACACATACAAAGAAAAAATATAAATAGTTTTTTTATGATACTCTTCAATGGTGTTGAAAAGTTGTAACGTTGTTTTTTGTATATGTATTTGGTGTGTGTGTATGTATGTGTGTGTGTGTGTGTTTGCGCTTATGTGTGTGTGTAATTTTATTTTTTTTAAACTATTTTTCTTACAGATGTTTTATCATCACTAAGTACAAAAATTTTTAACAAAATTTTTCATTTTAAAAAGCACCCTACTCTCTGTGTGGTTATTGAAGATAAATTTTCTCTTCTTTACGACATTTTAGTACGCCAGTTTTACGTTGAATTCACCAAAGATTATATACACTCTCTGAAATGCGTTCTGAATACTTACTACAAGTATTCTGAGTTGAATTCTTCACTTTCAACTATTTTTTATATGAATTTGTAAGTCAAGACAAAATTATACGCATATACACACACACAAATACATAAACACACAAACATATAAACAAAAGACATAATTCTACAAACAGACACACATAGAGACACACTTGAAACAACACATTTATACACACCACATTTTCGCACACATACATACACAAATAGACGTACCTACAACAACACATTTATACACACATATTCGCACACACACACACATACACATAAAAATACAAACATATGAACAAAAGCCCATACAAATTCACACATATGAACAAAAACAACTATTTCATCAAACGTTACCGACATGACGAATACTCAATAAAGATTTTTTTTTAATCTTCAGGTAGTATTTTATTTACATCGATAGAATTTGTTTGCCTCTATGTAGCAAGAACCTCATTTCTAGATATTATGAATTATCTCTTTGTTCAGTCCATATGTTTGCACGTTAGCTAGTAGGTTAGAATAAATTTATTTTCCAAGATCAGAGGCGTGAGGTTGATTCCCCCTCAAATAAAAGATCTTACCATGGTTAAAGATTAATTATTAAATTTAAAAGTTAAGTATTTAATTTTACATAAGCTATTATTTATTTCGTTTTATCACCGCATTATGTTTAGTATATTATAGGTTTGTAGTTATATATTAAAAATTAATTTAGTTGTTATTTCAAATTTTCATTATAATTGTTATTTTTAAAATAATAATAATAATAATAGCAATAATAATAATAATAAATAATAATAATTTTTAATTAAAAGACACCGATGTTTATATTTAGATGCATAAGTGCTGCCTCTTAGCGTACGGTGATGATGATAAGAGTCCGATGTATGATGTGTATTTCTAACTTTTTTTTACGTATTATTTGCTTATTAGATAAAATTGAACGTCATCTCGGCGAGACTTTTAAAAAATTTATGTAAGAGCGAATTAATTATTAATAATTATCAAAATTGATATCAATAAAAACAAAATAATAAAAGTGATAAATGGCGTAGATTTTTTATTTCTCAGAATTTTAAATCGACTCCGCACTTGACGTGTTAGGCATTAGAAATCATTTACAGAAATGTATAATTTTACATTTACAGAATTGTATAATTTTACATTTACAGTAATGTATAATTTTACATTTACAGAAATGTATAATACTTATATATATATATATCATGTTCATGTTTGATACCTCCCAAGCCCATGCGAAAATGTGTACACTGCTGATAAGAGGAGTTCAATATTGATCATAAGAATAGAATTATACCTGAAGTAACTAACTCATCTGATACAAACTTCCACTGGTTTTTTTCATCATATCTTATGTAATAAATTCAATTAAATTAAAATTGAATTTTTTCTAATAAATATGCTGACATATTTTTTGTTTAATATTTCAGTTAGTGTAATACGACAGTTCAAGTTTGATTAAATCGTTTGACAAATTTCTTTAATTGATATCACAATTTGTTAGCTGGTAGTACCAGGAAAATAATAGTATTATTGTTAGATTTGAAGTTGAGCAACATGACCACCAAAAAGACACGTTTGTCTGGTCCTCTTCTGGATCCTGACATTAACTTTCCCGTGTTAAAGAAGTTTTCTAATTCCAGAAAGCTACCCGCTCATGCTGACGTTGTTCATACATTATCGGAAACTGCGCGCCAGTATGAAGAAGATTGCGTCAAACTGTATAATTTTATATTGCCTGAGTTAAAAGCCACCTTAAGCAGACAACGCCGTGACAACGAAATTACTTCGGATTTTGAGGAGAAACATCTTGTTGATAAACAAGCCCCAAGCGTAGACTTGAACATTTGAACATTTATGTGTTCAAGTAAACAACCGTCTAGACAAACTACAGCAGCTTGCGTCTGTCAGTAGAAGCATTATCATTCAACAGACCGAAGAACTTTGGGCACGGTCGAAGTTGTCAATTAGAAATTTCAGTGTAGAAGCTTGTCAGGTTAAGAATCTAAAACTAACTTGGAGTCAATTTATGAAAGAGAAGTTTCAGACAGGTTTTGCTGAGAAACAGATTATTGCAGTCATAGAGATTAAATATGGTTACAGAATTGAAAGAAAAATATGGTCCTTATGAAGTTTAAGGATACATGAAGTTGGACATCACTGAGGCCAAGAAGCAGAAAAGAATAAAAAAGAAATTCAATTTGCATAAGGCTCATCAACGTATTTGCCCAAATCTGATCCTCTGTTTCGCATTCAAGTTACACTTGCGAAGAAAATACGTCGTGACGAGAAGTCGCTTGAGTTCAGTATTTCATTGAAATCCTAATTTGGATAGTACTCAACAAATCAGTCACCTTTCAACATGGAACAATTTCGGAAATCATTAATTCATTTACTTACCTGACTCTGTACATTTGCAAATTATACACGCACACATACAAACAAATATGATGCATGTATCTCACATAATGTAACATGATGTAACAAATTCATAGTTGAAATAAAATAAATGATTGCAGTTGGGCATGCAGGTTGCATTAATTTCAGTCTTTTTGGTTTTTGGGTAGGTTTCTAAAGGTCGGTTTGGGTAGGTTCTTGTATTTGGTTAAGCTCGAGATTTCGAAACATCTTGGGTGGGATCAAGTTTAACCAAAAAATATAGTGTTATACATTTTTGAAATTCTTGTGTGGTCGGTAACTCGATGCAAATGGTATTGTGTTAAAATTCAGGAACTCATGATTAGCACTACCTTCTAATATTATTATTAATCCATATTGAAAATGCATATTTATATTTTTAACGTAGATGTTTATGTATGCATGTGTGTGTGTGTGTGTGTTTTGTGTTTGTATATGTTTGTTTGTGTGCATGTCTGTGTGTCTATGTATGCACGTGCGTGTACATGTGTGAGTATATCTATGTATAATTGTATGTCTGTATGTTTGTTTGTTGTATATAAGTGTATTACATAAACGTTTATTTCAACACAAACATGTCTTTTATTGCCTGCAAGCGATTATCGTACGAATACATTTTTTCAATTTAATGGTCACTCTAGTATTTTTATTCATTTTTATTTTATGTTATCAGAAAAAAAAATTCATCTAGAAAAGTTTGAAATTTTTTTTCTCGTCTTAAAATTATTTTACATTTTATCGTCGAGTTAACGTTATAGAAAAAATATATTTGATGTTTTTGGCTTGTTCTTCCGTTCGTCTAATCATTCATTCATTCATTCAGTTATTTATTTATTTATTTATTATTTCGTTTGTTCATTCATTCGTTTATTTATTCGTTCATTCGTTTGTTCATTCGTTCATTCGTTCGTTCGTTCATTTGTTCAATTTACATTTTTTTTTGTATTTTCTTATAAGGTTTTGAAATTTACGACGCTTTGTTGGAACAAAAGTTGCAGTAGAAGTAGTAGTAGAAGTAGTTGTATACGTGTTGTCCTGTTTTAATATCAGTAATCAGGTCATAAGTATTGCTACTAGAGTATTGATGTACTGATAGTAATGATATTTATAGCTGTGAAGTTGTTACTACTAATAACTGGTTGTAGTAAAAAAAAGTAATAAAGAATTGAAAGTAAAAAGAGAATGAAGAGTAATTTTAATCATTTTTACAATTGCCATCTTGAAGATCGTAGTAGTGGTAGTAGCCGCGGCAGTAGTAGTAGTAGTAGTATTAGTAGTAGTAGTATTTTATTCTATAGTAGTAGTAGCAGTTTTAGTAAAATTAGTAACTGCAATTACATAATTTTTAGCAGTAGTAGTGGTAACTTTGTCAGTAAAAATAACTTTGATTTAAGTGTAACACGTAAAATTTGAATAGATCAACAAAAAGTCCAGAAATAGCGAATTTGACGTAAATCAGTGAGTTTGTTTGTGTGTGCGTGGCGTGACGTGTTTCAGCGTCTCAATTTTTTTTCTTTTTAAACAATTTTATAACGTTTGCATTACTGCGTTCGCCACGTCTTAATGTCCTATTTTTATTTATTTCTTTCCTTTTCGCTCTCTTCTCCTTCTTTTTTCAACTTCATCTCTCTCTCTCTTTC